CTCAGAAATTCAATGATGTATTTGATTGTTCAGAAGCACCTCTTGATGCGCTGTAACAATCAAAAGAAAAAGTATATTGGGTTTTGTAAATTTTGCACTGGATAAGGCGCGGTGGCTTGGCGGCAATGTTACGCTACGCGAGTCCTAACCATTTATTGACTGCTACAGCGCACTAAAAAGTCCTTTTCAAAAACCAGGCACATTATTGAAATCAAAGAGCTATAAGCTATTGATTGATTGCTAAAAGTGTAAAGGGAAAGCTTTGTTGAGCGAGAAATATTTGAATGAGAAACATAATTTTGTCGCTAATGGTACAACGCAGTAATAAAGCCGTATTGGAAACGAATTACACCATTGAAAATTTTGCGATTTGATAGGTAATCGTTAAAACTTAAAGAAAAAAGTGAAAGACACTTGTTTCCAGGAAATCGAAAAAAGGTGCAGATGACGAAAATGATCTAAATTTGCGAAACCCAATCTTCTTTTAGTTGTTCAGCCCGTTTTAAAAACCAAATACATCATTGGAATCCTTGAGATTTTTCTATCATTTCTTCATTAAAAATCTAAAGAAATGGCTTTGTTCAGCTAGAAATGTTTCAATGAGTAGCATAATTTTATAATCGGATAATCACATAACATGTTCTTCAGCCTTTCGTGTGGTCTGGTAGGGCACATTTACGACCACTGGACGGGCTCGTTTCGCCTCCATAGGCTCATCAGTAGTAGAGTGCCTTTCGGTTCAGCCGACCCTTGGGGACACACCACTAGTTGCAGGAATCGACGCCGAATAACAAAACACCACAAGTCAGGTGATGAATCTCCCGACATTGCAGTGACTAAATTTTATTTTATTTCACAAATTTTATTTTTGCTGTTTCAGCGTAACAATCGAGCTAATCTGAAGACATAATAAACATTCAAACTGTTCTGATCTGAGTTATCTTCAAAAAGCCTAACAATTGCGTTTTTTCTGAAAGGTCAAAACACCGAGTAATGAGAAAAGTACCCAGTTCTCTTCTGGTGCTATTGCTTAGCAGATCTAATTTTTACAGTGGGTTGGTGAACAACTAAGAAAGAAAACTTTTATGAATAACACAAGCTCAAAGACTGTCTAACGCCTCAATTTCCGAGAAATCGGAACCAGTTTTTGTGCTTACTTGCTATCTCCTCTAACGTGCGTCTCGGATGCTCATACTGAAATGAACAAAGCTAACAAGGCGGTGCAAAAACGAGAATAGCTTTTTTAATGCCTTCACTCTAACAGAAAAGAACCCACCGAGCTGTTGCATAGACCATTAAAGCACGCAGGGTGATTGATTCCACCACATGCTCCGCATGGTGTACCCTTCGTGTAAATTGGAACACCAAGTTTAAGATGCCTAAGAAAAACAGAAGCAGGGCTTAATCAAGATAATGGAGGTCATGAATGACTTACGGTTGTCCGTATGAACAGACAAATGACACGAAGGGAGGACTGCACCGACTAGTACAAGTATGATAAGCGCATCCAATTTTAGTCATGTTTGCAACTAATATCTGAAAAGGCCTTTTGAGCTCATAACATTGATGATATATTTTCTTGTCTGCAATGAACAATCTAAAATTTGAAATTAGAGAATCTCATCGAGTTCATCTATGAACTCTGTCAAAATTCGTTGAAGAGATTAGCGAACATTTGTGCCAAAGCGGTGTTCAGAACATGACACTCATTTGCCTTGAATATAGCCACGACTAACCTGAAGAAATGGAATCATCGCTGAGTTGTTTGGTGATGGCGTTACATTCTCAAGTGCACTTGTTTTGAACGTATTAGTCCAGCTATTAAATCCCTGAAAATTTAGAACTAAGTTATTTAAGTGTGACCTGGCGTATTCGACCTATTCCCAAAATGTCATGTACAATATTCTTCGGTCTAGAATCTTTGAATTAGCACTTTGCATATTTGTGTCGATCATGGTCCCATAGATGAAATTGATTTAAAGCTTTACATCATTTGTGATGGCACCGTAGAATGTGAGAAGTCCAGGAAATGTGAATTTGTTGAATCCTGTGTGGTTGAAATCGGGATGACTCTCATTACGACATGACTTTGCAATGTTGTAAGCAGCTAACTCTAAGCCGCAATCGTAGGTCTGTAGAGAAAAAAATGAAAACTTGTTAGTTTTTCTACTATAATATCGTCTTGTCAAAAAAATTTCTTACCAGAAGGCGCATGTCACTGGAACTGGGAAACTGTTCATGCGAAAGATTGTATAGAGCCCTATCTGTGTCTCTTTTACCTTGAAGAAAGCTTCTAAAAAAAAGTTTTTTGAAATGTTTTTCTCTGTGTTGGCGTTTGATAGTCTAGAGAGCAGTGGCCAGTATTTGATTCTTCTAGAAGAATAAAATTTTGTGTGCACCTCACATCATTGTGACCAGCCAAAAAACTCTTTCTCATACGGTCGGTCATGTTTGTCGCGTTACTACAATTGGTAGAAAATGGTACTGTAAATAAAATAGTTACACGCAAACAGAAAAACTGCTCAAAATATTGAAAACAAGAGATCTTACTATCCCAGAAAGAGATAGGGTTTTGGCCGCAAGCAGTCTGGAACTCCTGAAACGATTTGATGTAGTTCTCCAGCTTAGTTTTAAAGTTTTAGCGTCGTCTCCAAACGCTATAAGACATACCACAACAGTGAAAATAGAAACGACGAGAGAGGTGACGATGACGTTCATTATCACTGAATGATGTTTAGCTTCAATCGTTCGCTTTTATGTGTATTTTCAATGCACAGTTTTTCAGATGTACCTACATGATTTCCATTAATTGTATTGAGTTGATGACGTGGCCGTGAAAATCCCATCAACGCTTCCGGGATTTCTCCGTGGCATCCAAATTATCTATTGTTATATCGACAGTTCATACTGGTGAAAACAGCGTTATTTCATTTGATCGTTCCATAGAAAGGCAGTCATTGGATACTTGGTGCATTAACTCATATATATTTTCTATCGACAATTTTTCTAATCATTGACACTAATAATTGCCTAATAACTCACGTTCAGTGTTCATGCTCAAAAATCCGTATTTCGTAACTTGAAGAGGAACATATGCGAATTATCACTTGTGATGGTATTGTTTATTTATTGCTTGGTAATTTCGTCCGATCATTTCTGATTACAACATGCTCCGCATGGTGGTCCATTCGTGTATGTTGGATCACCAAGTTCGAGATGCCTAAGTGTGACAGGAGCGATACTGTATCAAGGTAGTGGAGGCAATGAATAACTTACGGATCTGCCTATTAATTTTTTTCTGCCTGGTAGTAACCAAGGATAATCGAGTGCACAACACTCTGTGTTCGATGGTAATTTCACTGGACATAGAGTGTAAAACTTTCGTCGTCTCTAACTCTTAGTGTGGTGACTGGAGCACCTACACAGGGTTGGCAAAAGACGAGAAAGGGTAACTGCCCGACTGACGGGATCGCAAGATTGAAGCACGTGTGTCGGGCTCTATAAGTCAACCCTCTTTGATAGACCATTGACATGCGTGGCTCAAGAAATGATTATCAGGTTTATTGAAATTTGAGCTGTGGTCTCAAGAAAATACTCGTAACGAAAAATACTTACGGATCTCCGTATGAACAGACAAATGATAAAAAGGAAGTATTTTCAGGATCGATCAATTGGTACAGCTATGATAGGCTTATGCGATTTTAGTCATATTTGTAACCAACATCTGGAAGTAACATTTGAGCTCATAACATCTGTGATAAATTTTCTTGTCTACACTGAGCCACTCGACATACTTAATAGAATCAAGTCTGTTTATGAACTTTGCTGGAAATTGATGAAGAAGGTTACTGGATATTTGTGCTTAGATTATTCCCAGAACATGATACTCATTGGCTTGAGATATAGTCTTAAGTAACCTGAAAAAATAGAATCATTTTAATGTCATTTGCTGATAACGTGAGTGCTTTCATTTCCTAAAAAGTGTCACACTGAAATATTCGAGCATGAATCTAGCGCATTCGGCTGTTTTCCGGAGTGTGTTTTTTATATTTCCTTATCATATGATCTCTGCTCCAGCAACTTGATAATTGTGTCGATCATGATGCCCCATCGATGAAGATGGACCAAAGTTTTCCCTCAGTCAGGATGAAGCCGATAGCTTTAAGAGCCCAGAAAAAATGATTTAGCTTCTGCGTAGTCAAAATCGGGATGGCTTTCAATACGACGTAACATTTTGTAGACAGCTTTGTCTAAGTTTCAGTCGTATGTCTATAGAATAAAATGTAAAGTGTTGAACCGTCTCTTCCAAAAATTCTCGTGATTAGAAGACGCGTTGCACTGGAATTGGGGTATTGTTCGTAGGAAAGATCGTAGAGAGTCCTATTTCCCTCTCTAATAACTTGGAGAAAGCCTTCAAAAAAGTTTTTCTTTGTGACTTTCTTTTTTATGATGGTATTTAACCGTCCAAAAAATAATGGCCAGTACTTGACTGATGTAGAAAGCATCAGTTTTTCGTGTATTCATGTCATTGTGACCAGAGACAAAGTTCAACCTCAGATTCTCGGTCATGTTGGTCTCGTCGCTACAATGAGGACTTGGCAGTGCAAAAAAAAAAACGCATGCAGACAGAAAAATCATGCAAAGGCCAGAAACGAAGGTTTTATTACTCCAAAAAGGGCCAGGGTCACCGTAATGACCGTATGAAGTCTAGAACTTCTGAAACAATTTATTCTGATTCCATAGCTCAGTGAAGTAACTCTATGATAGCTATCAGCTACCAACGCTCTATCATATTTAATCGGGTACGCAATTTCGCTTTATAAATAGTTGAGCTGACAGCCACGTGATACGTAATACTCGTAAAATCTAGTATTTTTACCGTTTTTCCGCAATGTTATGATGCTTCATATAGAACTAAGAGAACTGAGAGATGAGCAAAAATACGACCTCAGGCGGGAGTCGAACCCGCGTCCCATCCATACCGGGGGTGGTACAAAGGCACCTCGGTGGTGTAGTGATAGCTCGTATTCTCATTATGGATGAAACGCGGGTTCGACTCCCGTCTAAGGTCGTATTTTTGCTTACCACTCATTTTCTTAGGTTTATGTGAAACATCATAACACTGCGGGAATTCAGCGTCTGCTGAAGTCGATGATGTAGCAGAGAAAATCCATTTAACGCTTTCGGGACAATTTTCGCCATGAAATCCAATAATGCTATTGTCATCTATGTTTTTCCATAATTTCATACTGACTAGAACACCACTAATCCAATCAGCTGTTCCACGGAAGGGAATGAATGGATGTTTAGTTCCATTCAATCCTTAACGTCATCTTGTGCACTGTGTATGTCGAATCTGCGTTTCATTATTTCATTTACTCTCTATAGACGTGGGTGAAAAATTGACTCAGACAGCACACGCTTCACTTTTCCCAAGAACACGTGCTCCCACACACTACTAATGCACCGTTTGCTACTGCTCTTTCTTCGATATGAGCTATCGTAGCTGTGAGCAACCAACCTTCAGTGGGTTTAGTAGCATAACCACATACTGGTATTGTATGCAGTCAAGCTGACAGTTATTGATATTTATGAAAGCTCTAAAGGATAAAGCTCTCGGCGTTCATCAATCCCTGAGGGATGCGTCATGCAACTTTTAATTTCGTTTGAGGTGATTGAATGCATATTTGGCCTTAACAATAACTCGCAGTGGTCTCCTCGCTGAACCGAGTCAGTGCTGCTTATCCTCCCAGACAAGTTTGAGACCAATCTGTACCAATTTATTGACCCCGGAGGATTGGATGGCTTAATGAGCCATGAGCGCGATATCGAACCATTGACCTCGTGTCCCGACGCAGAGCATCTCTAAACACTGCGCCACATGCGCTCCTATTGATATTTATGATTTACAAAATTTTATCTTGATGCCCTAGCTGTGGTAAAATGCCAATGCTTGTGTAAAAAGCAGAATATTCGTTTACCCCTCTACCATCTTTGATAAATATGAGAAAGATTATCCGCAGAGAATGTGAAATAAAATAATGAAATAAAGATTCGATGTACACAGGACACGAGATGACGTTAAGCATTAACTGAGACAAGATATCCATTCATTCTCGTCCGTGGAACAACATACTGAGTTAGTGCTGTTTTCGTCAGTTTGAACTGATATAACATTGATGACAATAGCATTATTGGATGTCACGCGATAATTGTCCCGAAAGCGTTGAATGGCTTTTTACTGTTACGTCATCGACTTTAACAGGCGATGAATTTCATGAAAGCGTATAAAAACGAGCAATTGAATGTGCGGATCACTTCTGTCATTGCTGCTTTCCTTCTCACAGTTATCTCCCTCTCCAGTTCTGCTTTCCTCCCTCCCTTTCTCCGCCTCTACTACCTTGGAGAGAGCCTGTAAAAAAATGTTCTTTGATTTCTTGTTCTATTCTGGTATCTAACCGTCAAAAAACAATGTCCAGTTATTGAGTTCTCCAGGAGACATCAAATTTGTGTGTACCTCACGTCATTGTGACCATTCAGAAAGTCCAACTTCAGAAACTCGGTCATATTGGTTTCGTTGCTACAATTAGGACTTGGCACTTCAAAAAAAAAACAGTCACATGCAAACAGAAAAACCACCCAAAGAGGAGAACAAGAGTTCTCACTACTCCAAAAGAGGGCCAAGGTTATCGTATTGGCCGCATGTAATCTGGAACTCCTAAAACGATTTATCATGTCTCTTTGGTTTAGTCTCAATTTCTCACATAATCTTTGACGCTATTAGAAATATCACAACTGAAAGTAGCAATGAGAGAAGAGATCTGCACATTCATTTGCTCGATTTTATGCGCCTACATGAAATTCATCACCTGTTAAAGTCGATGACGTAACAGTAAAAATCCATTCAACGCCTTAGGGACAATTATCGCGTGACATCCAACAATGCTATTGTCATCAATGTTATAACAGTTCAAACTGACGAAAACAGCACTAACTCAGTCAGTTGTTCCACGGACGAGAATGAATGGATATCTTATCTCAATCAATGCTTAACGTCATTTCGTGTTCTGTGTATATCAAATCTTTCTTTCATTATTTTATTTCTTATTCTCTGCGGATAATCTTTCTCATATTTATGAAAGAAGGTAGAGGGGTAAACGAATATTCTGCCTTTTACACAAATATTGGCAATATACCACACTAGGGCATCAAGATAAAAATTGTTGTAAATCATAAATATCAATAGGAGCGCATGTGGCGCAGTGTTTAGAGGTGCTCTGTGTCGGCACACGAGGTCAATGGTTCGGTCTCGCGCTCACGGCTCATTAAGCCATCCAATCCTCCGGGGTCGGTAAATTGGTACAAATTGGTCTCGAACTTGTCTGGGAGGATAAGCAGCACTGACTCGGTTCAGCGGGGAGACCACCGCGAGTCAGTGTATTA